ATCCATCCATCCATCCATCCATCCATCCATCCATCCATCCATCCATCAATCCATTATTGCTACTGATTATTCCTAGACCCTCTCCATAAACTAAACAAGCTCTCAAAAAGTGTAATGAATCAGTCGATATGTCTGAAATATATCTAATGTCATATTTACGGTATTAAGTGTTCTCACATTTTGAGCTTATTAAATTATCATCATTGTCAAAACAAGTAACTCCCCTTGGATTTAGTCAATGGATGCGTGCTGTCAATCGATCACCACGTTGTGGTGAGTTGAATCAGGTGATAGCGGACGAAGCAGAAACTGGACAGAGACATAAACCCTTAACTTTGAGAACGTTGTCCAGTTGTCTCGGTCCCTGTTTTACATTACGGGGTAGTTGTCAATGTATTCCTTCCTTTAAAAATGGGGAGGGAGGATGAGTTCCAACAACAGAGGAGTCCCATTTCCTAGCCTCCCTGTTGAGGGGTGCAACAAGAGAGGAATGTTGCTTTTGTCCAGGGAACAGTTCTTTACTCCGGGATAGTGGATGGAGTGGGGGAGTGAGCTCAACGAGTCCTCTTGTGTTTTGTGAAAGACACTGAAAGTGCAGAATGGGGTGGCTGGAGATGGATAGACGGCTAGCTTAAATGATTTTGGATTTGATACCAGCCTGTGCGTCAAACACGTTGGACCAACTTTCCATCAAAGATGAATCCAAATCTGAATCCTGGGCAGTGCAACAAACCTGTCAGACTCAAGCTGTCTGTTGTTCTTGCTGCCACAAAGGATGATCGACAGAAGCGAGACTGCCTGATGCCAAAGAGTGTGGCAACCATGTAGCTGCCTTTTTAAGGTCTGGCCTTTTCAGATGTTCTCCAGTGAATTTTAATTGTGTATGCCTTTTTTAGCAACCTTTTCAACTCTCCAACAGGACAGATATGCAGATTCCTCTTAACTTTATATGATATACTGGCTTCATTTGCAACTTTGTGATGTCTTTCTGATCTGACACTTATATACGTTGCCCCTTTGATTGAGATCAATGCACCGATTCATTCAGAAATGGATATGATAAACGTGGGACTAAATAAAGAAAATTGAGAGTAGTTTGGATGTGTGTTCACCTCGATGTAAGGGGGGGCATGTTGATCAGAGAACCACATCAGTCCACAGAAAAGGCTGCTGAACTGATCATACATCACAATCTTTTATACATCTAGAAGCTTAATGCATTACATTGACCCCAGCTTCCTTGAAATAACTGTTTGATCTTTTAAATGTAATCCGCAAAAATTCCCATACATGCGGACTGATTTTTTTCTTTAACAATGCAGACATTATTCATGAACTGTTGGTCATATTTTTTGGTTAGACTGGTATGAGAGTACAGTTCTCTTATGCTGCTTATGCTAAGAAAATGCGGTTTAAACCTGGTACAACATTTTTGCTATGTACTATGAATATAAAGAAGAACGTGATATGCTGAGCCAAGGAATGTCATGTTCCTTGGCTGTATCTTTCCTGTAAATTTGCTGACAGTAATTGTGCTGCACTGGTAGTGTGCTTCCTGTAATTATGCGATTCCTAACCAATGTGGTTATGTATTGGTTTAATTCATCGTTTTTACTTTCATCTTTTTTTAATTCACTCTAACTCTGTCATTTGCTCCGTCAGGTTTGTCTTATTCCATTTATAATTTCTATGTTTGTCAATATTCCTCAATCATAAAGTCTTTATAAATAAATCTATAAATCTATGTATCTAAATGCAGCTTGTAATGTACTTTGTGCACAGGATTAACAGAAATGATATCACTGATATAAAAAAAAGTTCACAGAACTCAAAGTAAATGTATTACTCCAAGATATAAATATATATATATATATATATATATATATATATGTGTGTGTGTGTATGTGTGTGTGTGTGTGTGTTTGTGTGTATAGACATTAGAGGGGAATAGATGTTTTATGTTCTGTCCAGAAAGTATTATTATTATTAATAATCTTCCATCTAAACTGTCAAACTAAATCAAACTAAACTGATGCCAAACAAACAATCATAAAAAGGTCAAATTTATGATAGTTGTCATTCTATGTCATTCTATGTTTTGTCTTCACATTGCTTCAGAAAGCCAGATTTATACTGAAAAAAAGAAAGTGAGAACGACTAAAATCAGTGTGCTCTTGTGAATTTATGATTCAGTCTCACACATATGAACAGCTGTTATTCATATACCCACCAGACAAGTAAAGTCCAACTGAGGGCATGGTCCTCTTCAGAAGAATTCCTGCTTTGCCTGTGAGTTTACACTTTTAATGCCACCTTGTGGATAAAACTCGCACAACATTCTGCTGTGAGCCCTGGCTTTCTGTGAGTTTGTGAGAATTTGACAAATGTTTGAATGAATAAGTAGCATCTATTTAGTTGACATCTTCCATAAGACAGTATTTTCTTGGACCTGAACTTAGATCAGAACTTAGATTTCAACAACTGCAGTTATGGCTGGATTATACTAAGACATATTAGAACTTTACATCTGACAAATTGGGAAGATGTTTCAACAAAAAATTGCAATTATTTCCAAATCATCGAAATCTTTTAATGAAATGAACATAGCCAAAAGAGCATATTAGAAATTGAAACTGATTCGATTTTGAAATAGTCTAGGGGCATGGAATATATTCTTTCAGCAACACTTTCTAAGATGGAACTGAGACAAGCTGCTGTACTCTTGTTTGACGTTTAGTATGTTTTATCTGCTGCAAAAAGCATACCGACTGTAACCCGGTCAAAACATTGAGCATTATTATAACTGTTTATAAAATGTTAAAATGTCTTTAAAAGTGTTAATTTGTTGTGAACAGTTTAAATGTATATATTGTTTGGTTTCTACACGACAACTACCCTTTTTTTCTGGGTTTCTGGGGTTCCAGCTCCGGTCACATGAGAGGCGGCTGGCGCTGTCACGTGAGGCGTTGCTTCTAAAAACATGGCTCCAACTGGCTCAGAACAAAACACAATCGGCTGACTGAATACCGACCGACTGTCACCCGGTGCGTCTCTGTAAACCACGAGAAACGGAGCAAAAGCGTGTGACCCTGCTGCAGAATTGACTTTCACGATGCGACACAAACTCACGAAGCGTGAAACTGCTTTGAGCCGTTAGCTTGCCGCGAACTAGCTATCGACTGCTACAAGTGTTGAGGTGAGTTACTCATTCTGCATCCCTCTTACTCGGGGATGTTGTTGTTCTGTAATAACTTCGGCGGTACATTTATGACGATAGGTTTACAACATGAACCACTAACTTCGTATTTATTTTAAGATTGCTAAAGTTTTGTACGATAACGTTAGCATATTCCTTAAGCTAACTGCTAGCTACCGTCACTTCCCTAAAGGTCTTCAGTGTTAATTCACTCGGATCACTTTCTTAGTTTCAGTATTTACCTCAAAATATCTTAATGTAACACATATTGAAGCGTGTGATACTTACAGGTTGGGTAAGTTTACATTTTTGTTCATCATGGCAGCCATAGTGGAAATTCATTAAAAATGTGATTGACCTCTGATGAAGTCTTGGCCAGAAACAGTAAACAGTTGTTAGATCAAGCCTAATAGCAGCTTTTATTGCTGAGGTGAAATTTAATTTAAAAATGCATCAATTGGGCAAAGACATTGACAAAATCTGAAACAATTTTTTCTGGAGTTTAGATGCCTCATTCAATATCTCCACACCCCACCTCCATAACAGCAACTGATATCTGCACTTTAATATAAACGTTTAAACTGCTACTGATCTGATTACCCTTTTTTCCTCCTTTAAGGTAAGGGTGGAGATTAACTCTGCCTTTGGATGACTCTGTCTCTCTCCATGGGTGTGAGGCCATTATCCCACATGTGGTGAAGATAGCTGAGAAGTGTGCAACTCTGAACCGGCATTTGGAGACTCGCGATGGATTGGCTGACGCACACGGTTGAGAGAGACTTGGGCATTGACCGGAGGCAGCTAGGCCCGGGAACCCGTCCTCGAGAGCTCATCGCGCTGGTTCCCGTTCGCTGGGTGGTGGGCCTCAGAGAGAGGAGGGTGATGCAGTGTGCCCGCTTCGAGAGCATCAGCACGGCAGAAATTTGCACATACCTCCAGTCTGCCCAGGCAAAGTTGCCACCTGGCTGGACACGCGTCTGCATTCAGGGTCTGAGAAAAAGCAAGCTGAGCTACAGACTGGCCAGGGATCCCTGCCATCAGCAAATGGAGCTGCTGTCACAGGATTCCTGTGTTAAAACCATGCAGTGTGTGTCACAGCTTAATGTCAGGTACCGTACCAACTGAAAGCTTCACCAGAAAAACATGACATTGCTTGTTACCTTAAGTCAGTATAGTCAAAATAAATCAATGTCTTTAAAGATGATGCTAGTTTCTAGTGGTGACTAAGTCTGAATTTAGTTTTCTTGAATTTTAAGACATGATATTTGGCATCACATTTGATGTAATTTTATTAGTTAAAACAGAAAATTAATAATAGTTTAACTGGAGAATCATAGAGTAGTATAAAATTAATCCTGACCCTTTGGTTTGAATTGTTTTTTATTTGATTCACTGTATGCACTTGTCAACACTGATTCAAATGTTCTATTAATACCTTATTAATTAATACCTTATTCACATTAGGTAATGAGAACTTCTACAAAAGCTTTCTACTAAAGCTTTCTTTTATTTGAAAAACAGTTTTAAGTGTACTTTTAGGGAAATGTTATGAAACTTATAAGTGAATTGGTAAAAATCAATTCACGAACAGAGGAAAGCATGACAGGTTGTACTATATTGGCTCTTCATCTTTTTATCCCTCCTCTCTCTCTCTCTCAGGAATCTTTGGCGGGAAGCTCATTGCAAACTTGTACAGACATACACAGGAGCCGGTGAGCAGATGCACATTACTGCTGTGGACGCCGTGCGTCACGCGCTGGAGAAGCTCTTCAATTCTATATTTATCTCACCTGAGAAAGTGTCACCATCCCTCTCTCCGGCCCGTGAGAAAGAGAAAGACAATTACTTGCCATCTGGTTCATCGTTCTTCTCCAAAGCCCACACGGACAATCTGTGTCCGAATGTCCTGCCTGCAGAATGTCTGCTGGAGACGGCCGAAATGTTGTATGTGATTCTACCTTACACTCAGTATTCGCTTCATGATATTGTGTCCTTTAGCCCGGCCAAGCTCTCTAACAGCCATGCTAAAGTGTTGTTCATCATCTACCAGGTACTATTAGCCCTGCAGGCGTGTCATGCTGCAGGCTTGTCTTGTGGAGAGTTGTCTCTTCAGGACATAGCAGTAGATGAGCAACTCTGCAGCCGCCTCAAACTCAACCTGGCTCATTACGAGGACCTGGGATCAAAAGAGGAGACGGACAAGGTTGTTAGTGTCAAACAAGAGCCAAAATGTGTTCTGCCAAGACAAATGAAATGTGTGAGCCAAGAGAACAAAAGGCTTTGCAAGGACTGCTTTGATGAGCTGAAGACACTGGTTCTGGACTGGGTCCACGGGCGCGTTAGCAACTTTCATTACCTGATGGAGCTGAACAAGTTAGCTGGACGACGAGAAGGAGACCCCAATTATCACCCAGTGCTCCCCTGGGTTGTGGATTTCACTGTGCCATTTGGAAAATTCAGAGACCTCAGGAGGTCAAAGTTCAGGCTAAACAAGGGGGACAAACAGCTGGATTTTACTTATGAGATGACCAAAGAGGCTTTGGCTGCAGCGCTGGGGGACGGAATGAGTGGGGGTGGGGTGGGCGCAGACCTTGGTGGCTGTGGAGCTAGTGGAGGCGCTGGGCAGTCTGAGCACCTTCACGTTCCTCACCACATATCTGATGTGCTCTCAGACATTACTTACTATGTGTACAAAGCCCGGCAGACTCCCAAGTCAGTGTTGTGCAGCCATGTTCGATCACAGTGGGAGCCCAATGAGTACCCGGCCAGCATGGAGCGCATGCAGAGCTGGACCCCTGACGAGTGCATTCCAGAGTTCTACACAGACCCTTCCATTTTCCACTCAATCCACCCAGACATGCCAGATCTGGATGTGCCTTCGTGGTGCAAGTCCTGTGACGAGTTTATTGAGATCCATCGACGCCTTCTGGAGAGTAGAGAGGTTTCCCAGCATTTGCATCACTGGATTGACCTCACATTTGGCTACAAGCTGTCCGGTAAAGAAGCTGTTAAGGCCAAGAATGTGTGCCTGCACTTAGTGGACAACCACACCAACCTGACTACCTATGGTGTAGTTCAGCTGTTTGACCAGCCCCATCCACCTCGCTTATCTCCTTCCCAGTATGCCCCTGCAGAGCCTCCTTTTCTGGGCCTTGCTGCTCTAAATGTGCCTTATCTACACATCCCTCCGTCGAATACGGTTCCTGACGCTGTGGATGGATTGGTACCAGAGTCCACAGGCTGCGAGTCCAGTGGCTGGACTGTGGTAGACCGGGATGAAGACCTCGAACAAGGCACAGAGGCACTAGACTCATTGGCATCCACTGGCTCATCCTCTTCTGTGTCTTGCTCTGTTCCACTGCCAGCTGTCAGTGCAGGGGGGGGAAAGGTGGGTGGCGAGCATCCGGCAATTGCTGTGTCTCAGTCTCCGAGTTCATTTCCTGGCGACTTCGCGGGTGGCATAGGTCCCGGTTTACGAAGTGCAATGTTGCAGAGAGGCGGGCCAACGAACAAAAAGCACAGCGAAAATCACACCGGCACCAGTGCTGAAGAAATTAAAATCAGTCTGCCTGAAGGCTTCAACGCATTGCAACCTTTAGAAGAGTTAGAAAAGTTGAACAATTTCCTGGCCAAAAGTCTTCATGCTGAAGTGAGGCATCCTGCAGCATGCAGTGGCTCAGTGAAGGAGGCCCTGATAACTGGAACTCGAACGTCTCTTACGCAACTCTACCAAAGAGACATGCAAGCCCTCGGTGTTGTCATTGCTGAGATATTCTACTCTGCGAAACTAAGAGGACTGAAACCAGACATGCCCCTCAGGCAGCGTTTCCAAGCTATCCTGAAGCTGTGCTCTGCCAACCTCCGAGATGTGCCCCTCTCCTTGCATCATGCCCTTGAGACATTGTTGCTAATAGAGAAGCACTCTGGGGTCACTCACTGGGAAATACCAGATTGCGCACATCCTCTCCTTTTCAAATATGACCCAATATGTCGTGGCCTCCCTCCACCAAGCCCTCAACAGCTATTAAATTCTATCATCACTCCCTTTCCTTTCCCTCCCTATTTTGCTGCACTTCATCATTTTATCTTTTCGTACCATGCTAAGATGGGTACTATTTGTAGCCTCCAGGGTAGAGACGTTGTCTTTCAGCTGTGGCAGCAGCTTGAAGCGCTGGTGCGGAGTAACATCACTGCAGAGGGGCTTGAGATCCTGTTGCCCTTCATTTTAGCTCTCATGCTGGAGGAATCCACCGCTGTGTATGCGGCTTGGTACCTTTTTGAGCCCATCTCCAGTGTCCTTGGTCCCAGAAATGCAAGCAAGTACTTACTAAAGCCTCTGATTGGTCTTTACGAAAACCCCCACTGCCTCAGAGGGCGGTTCTATCTGTACACCGACTGTTTCATTCTGCAGCTGATCGTAAGGCTGGGCCTGCAGGCTTTTCTGTCCAGCCTCCTCCCCCATGTGCTGCAGGTCATCACCGGCTTTGAAAGTTGCATGTCGGGAACTGGTGGGGAATCTTGCAAAGGCTTGAGGCCTGGCATGTGTAATCTAGAAGAGGAAGACGACTTTCAGTGTGGAGAGGTCCGGCCCTCGTCTGGGTCTGTTGGGGCCAAAATGGGGGGCAGCGGGGGAGCCAATGTAGGAGTTGGGGTGATGGGAGACGCGGGGTTGGTGGACTACTCCTCTGGCATTAGTCTCAGCGACCAAGTGTTTCTGTCGGAGGCAGAAGACTTTCAGAATGGATTTTACGTGAACAGTGGGCCGGGGGTGGCTGCCGGGAAGCAGTCCAACCAGAACAACGCAGCCAAGGATCAAGACCAGGAGTCCATAAGTGTGGGCAAATTAAGCGACAAAAGCAGCACAAGTGAACTCTCCCTGGGTGACGACTCGATGCGGGATCGAGCCAGTCTGAAGTCAGGGGACAGCAGCCAGGACCTGAAACAGGCCAGCGAGGGAGAGGAGGGAGGAGAGTTGGAGGACGAAGAGGTGGCCAACGAGAACAAAGAGGAGACGGATTGCTCGGCCGTCCACAACCTTGAGCTCTCCGTCTCAGGACGCACAGAATCATCAGGAGCCACCGTCGGAACTCTGGAGGGTGAGTTTGTGAATGGAGTGACACTGGAAGACTCCGAGAAAGGAATTGTAGGAGGACAGGAGGACGAGGACGACCGTGACCCCTCAGAAGATTCTGAGGAGAAGGAGCAAAAGATTCTTTTAGGTGAGTCAGTGACACAGGCTTAAGTAAGACACAAGCTTAAAAATGACCCTTTCTAATACTGTAAACATGGTTTTATTCTCAGATACGGTCTGCAAAACAGTGCGCTGGCTGTCCGCAAAACTCGGACCAACCGTGACGTCGCGATACGTCGCCAGAAATTTGCTGCGGCTGCTCACTAACTGTTACATTGGTGTGTAAAGTCTACACGTGAAGACCACAGCTTTCTCATTTTATTATCAGCATAAAGAGTGTCTTCTCCTCTATATTTAACAGTCAGCACCACGAGTACATTATCCTGTTTTCTCAAGCCTTCTTGTTGTGTCGTTTCCCTGTAGGACTTGAGAACCACCAGTTTGTGGCACCTCCAACTGAGGAGAGCCGTCTGGAGAGTGTGGGAATTGGCAGTGTCTATGAGAAGAAGCCTGTGGTTGGCGATCACACTGCGGGACCCGTTTTGGACTGTCTCATCTACATTGCTCAACTTTACGGAGAGCCTGTGCTCACCTACCAGTACCTGCCTTATATAGGATACCTGGTAAGACAAGGAACACACAGAACACTTCTACTGTTCGTATATTGTCTATTAATAGATAAATAGTTTGCCCTAATGAATGTTCTACAATTGTTTTCTTTTTCTCTGTTGTTGTTGTCCAGAAATATTACCAAAGTGACATATGTTTGTGTTTTTTAGGTGTCTCCACCATCTTCGGAGCGTCTGAACACACGTAAGGAAGCAAGTCTCCTCGGCGCTGTGGCGCTCACACAGAAGATCATTGTCTTTCTGTCGGACACCACGCTGATGGACATGCTTATGAAGATCAATCAGGATGTTCTTTTGCCACTTTTAGATCTCCTGACTACACCTCGAATGGGGTAAGTAACGCAAAAGTAAAGCAAGCATGTCGACACTCAAAGCATCCATTGAGGATTCCATGAAACGGTTACAGTACAGCTTATGAAACGACAACATTTTTGCATGTGTAGCTGATGTTTTTGACTCTTTAGAGCTTTTATACTTTGTGGAATTTCATATAGTGTGTAATAGTAGTCAGTTATCACCTGTTTTTTTTTATTTAGTTTATTCATTCTGTTCTCTGTAGGTTCCCTAGTGGAGTGCAAACCCGCACCGCTGTCTGTCTGAAGACCCTCAGCCTAATGGCGCTCATCTGTCTGCGCATCGGGAGGGAGATGGTGCAACAGCACATGTCTGAAACGCTGCGTCAGTTCTTTGCCGTTTTCTCTCTGCTGCATACTCTGAAACCCCAGGTACGCACTCATACGGGCACAGTCCTAATCCTACGTGTGACCCTTAACTTGGCCGTCACTGTGAAATGCCTAAGCCAAAACTAATTTTCACTTTAACAGCATAATTAGATATTAACTTTTAGACGGCCATTTTAAGGCCCTAGCACTAGCCAGAAAGTTTTCTAGTCTTCCAAGGTGGAATGCCTTTACTCAACAGACAAACACAAGTACAACCACTTCAAAAACTTAGACATGTCATGTCAGATTTAAATTTGATTTGTTATTGAAACTCAAATAAAAAAAACTAAGTTGAAAACACTAATATTTTTGTGTTTTTTTTGTTTCTACTTTAGCTGGAAAATGCTCCCCGCAGAGTTGTTGGGGAAGTAACGGTAGTGGATGTCTGCACACCCGGAGAGTCAAATGTTACATATGAGTTAGGAACTTTGGAGGAGTTACAGACTGTGTTTAACCCTGAGATGGCCCATGCTTCCTACATCCCTTTCTACTGCCTGATAGGTAGGAAACGCATCGCCATTTGTCATTCGAAATATCTTCTAGATTTCAAAGCAGTACGAAATATTCTCTTTGTCTCCACAACTGCAAATATTTTCTCCTGTATTTTTTTTAATAGGCGACGCGGCTATTCGGAAACTGGTTCCCAACCATGAACTGGTCTGGCAGTTAGCCCAGTCCTACCATCAGAGTGTGAGTCAGGGGAGCACGGACGTGGACGCCGCATCAGCCGGCAGGTTGGAGCCCCCCCCATCGTCTGCTTTTGGCAGACACATGTTGTGTAGCCCGTTCCCTGCTCCTGCGAACAGCTCCACCCCGCATCCGGACTCCCTCCCCGAGTCGGGCACATTCGGAAGCCACCTGGTCGGAAACCGCATTCAGGTTTCCCGTGACGCCGACTACGGTGGCAGCGCTAACCACGGCTTGGGCAGCTCCTGGGGACACTCCAGCAACCCCACCCCCATCATCACAGCAGCCTCCACCTTCACCACCCCACCCACGGGTGCCACGTCTTTCTCCTGGCTGACGGGTCCCTCTCCGGAGGACAGCGCCCTGAAGCAAGAACTCCCTCGTAGCAGCCGCTCTTTACAGGGCAACTGGCTGGCTTACTGGCAGTATGAGATTGGTCTTAATCAGCAAGACTCACATTTCCACTTTCACCAGATCAGACTGCAGAGCTTTCTGGGACATTCAGGCACCACAAAATGTTTGGCACCGCTGGTAGGGGAGGATTACTTCCTCTCTGGCAGCAAAGACAAGACCGTGAAGCTCTGGCCCCTGTATAACCACGGTGACGGGACGCGGGAGGTGGAGCCCAGGCTGACCTACAGCGAACATCGGAAGTCGGTCTTCTACGTAGGGCAGCTTGAGACCTCGCACGAGGTGGTCAGCTGCGATGGCACCGTGCACCTGTGGGACCAGTACACAGGTGCGGATCCAGGACAACACATCCTGACCCTGATCTGACAGCTTTTTTAAATAATTACATTTACACTTGTTGTCTTTAGGCAAGCATATCCGCCTGTACGACGCCGTGGATGGAAAGAATCCCATTACAGCCGTCACCACCATGCCGGCTCCACACTGCAGCGTGGTGTTTGGCAGCGCAGACTCTGTCCTCCGCTTCGTGGATCCTCGTAAGCCCGGACTGCAGGTAGCAATTTCACTTTGCAATCTCTTTCCCCCCGAGACCCAAAGTCCTTTACCATCCACTGCTATTAATCTTTTCTCTCTTCAAAAGGGTAGACATTTTTACACCCTTCCAAGACTGAATTACTTCTGACTTGAAAGTGACAAATCCTCCCCTGTGTCCCCAGCATGAATTTCGCCTGGCGTACAACAATGTGAGCACGGGGCTCATCCGCTACTTGGCCGTGAGCCCTTCGGGACGCACAGTGGCCGCAGGTTTCTCATCTGGATTCATTGTTCTGTTAGATGCTCGGACAGGGCTTGTTCTAAAGGGCTGGCCAGCTCACGAAGGAGACATCCTCCAAATGAAGGTAAAGTGCGTGTGTGTGTGTGTATGTAAGGTTTTTCTTGAAATCTTTCCATCTGTTTAACTGAAAAAGTCTGTCTTCAGGGAGCACATTCGGTCACGAGAGATAGATGAGTTTGATGAATGAAAGTAAATAGCTTTGTTGTAGAAATGTGGAGGATTAGGTTATCATCTGAAGTCAAATTTTGTTTATCTTTTTTTACGGCATTAAGCATACATAGCTAAAGGATTAGATTAGAACTTTTTTTTTTTTCTAAGTTTTAAAATTTCTATATTAAAACAATGGACAGCAGAGAAAAGCTAGACATGTTCAGGTTGAAAACTATGAAGAATGTTTGACAGCCAGAACTTGTGTTTTTTATCTCTAAGTGGACCAAAGAGAGTTTCTGAACCGTTTAACCTTTTAACCGTTTAACAGTATTATCATTACACGATTATATAATAGTTTTACATTTCACATTGAAGAGTCTGTGGGTCACTGACAAAAGAAAAAAAAAACCCTGTTACGATACACAAGACACTTGTGTCATATGAAATCTGAAAAAACTGGGCTGGATGAGGATGCTTTGTGCTCATGTTGGCTTTCGATGTTTATTCCAGTCAAAAGGTAAATCAGTGACTGATGCGTTGTGTACTAAATCAGAATCCGGGTTCTTTTGGTAAACAGTGGAAACCTTTGGATGATCACAGCCCACGCTCTTCTCATCAGCCTGATAAACACGAATCATCTCAGCTTGGAATTTCACTTTGATCCACCCACATTACTAAGCCACATCACATGTCCGATCTAAATGCTTTTTTAAAGATTTTTACATTAAAGAAGGAATATGTTTATCGAATAAAGTGAGTTTTCTGTTGTCAGACAGAGGATAACTGCAGCTTTTTGTGCATTTATCTTGTGTGTGACTGTATGTTCTCTTCTCTTGATACACTATGTGTTTTGTAACTGTTGTGAGGCACCGCTTCCGTCCCAAAAATGGAAACTCACTGTAGGAGCATGTCACTGTGTTCCTTTATCCAGATGGTGTCACCGTCCTTCTCACAAGTCGTGTAATAAATGTGAGAGACAATCAAGCGGGTGGCTTTTAATGTCATCATTCCCCATGTGATGATGCACGATGGTGAAAGTTGTACCCAGCGAATCTGGTGTCAACAGAGCACAAACTTTATTTAACCCCAAATTAGGTCAAGGATTGTATCTCTGGTTTTAAAGGCTCAAGTTCAGGCAAATATGGACACAGGTTACTCATTAGAAAGACCACTTTGATTCTCACTGGCTCACTGCTAAGTAATTATCCCCAAAATAACTGAAAGTAAATGTTATATAGATGAGCTGATAAAGCAATCTGACTAATTTTGCATTTCTTCATAGTATTAAAAAAATATTTATTTTTATTTACTTTCATCTGACCCTGGAGAAACTTTGGCTTTCGCTGTATTTTTGCAAAGTGACACATGATTATATCAGTTTATTTTCTTGTGTCTTTCAGGCTGCAGAAGGAAACTTGGTGATCAGCTCTTCCACTGACTACACGCTGACTGTGTGGAAAGATCTGGAACACAAGCCTCTCAGGCAGTACAAGTCACAGTCCGATCACATCCACGCTTTTGACCTTTATGGTTCCCAGATCGTTAGCGGAACAGTGGCTAACAAGATCGGGGTTTACTCCATGGCCGATATCTCCCTGAGCCCCATTAGCAGCACAAAGCTGAGCTCGGAGAACTTCCGCGGCACTCTGACCAGCCTGGCAGTCCTTCCCACTAAGAGGCTTCTGCTGCTGGGCTCAGAAAACGGCGCGATTAGGCTATTAGCGTAGATCAATAGCTCCCGGCTACACTCGACACCTGACTGACCTTCATTGTGTCTTATCACCGACGACACAGATGTCCAAGTGCTCTGTCCATCTGTGCTCGCTCTCAGATGTAGTTGTAGGGCAGATTGTCAACTTATTCAGATTGTTTTTCTTTTAATTAGGCAGCACACATTGAGGCATTGTTTAATTTATCATGGATACAGAAAAATCAATTGCTACACCTGAGGAGGTATAGTACATAATAGGACATTCTCAGCTTGACTAGGTCTTTTTCTTTCTTTTTTTTTTTTGGGTTTTGTTTTGACCCAGTCAGTTATTCTGTTAAAAAAAGAACAAATTGGAAGATGTGCTCAGGAAGGTCTTATGTAGTGTTTACACTTTTCCAAATAGATGCATAACCAAACCAAAAAAAAACATTGATCTCACCTTCATTTCATGTAATAAGAACATATTAATTCAAATGCACTAATTAAACTATGCAGTATTTGTAGATGTAATCATGTCTGTGGTGGTTACTCCATGTTTCATAAGAATAGTTTCACAGTAGTTTGTATATACATCATGAGGAATAAATGTACACTCTCTGCTGTGAAGACAGTGTCAGTGTGCCTACCTGTGGAGGAGACATTCGAGTGGTCATCCCAAACAAAAGTTAGTTGCAAATGCACAGCCTTTAATCTACTGCACAAAGATGGCCTGAATTGTAAAGTTTAGATTATCACTCAGATTTTAAATTTTGAATGTTTTTACTGCACTTATGGATAACTTGAAGTTGTTTTGTAGATCAAACATTGTTGCTTTAGGCCTGTAGCAGCGTTCTATTGGAAGAAATACACAGCAGATGCAGCTTTTACTGGGCATGCCAGTTAGTAAACTCACCACTTTCTAATCTGTCTCCAAAAGCTGAAACAGAAACAGTCAACGCCAAGTTAAGCAACTTTTGTATTTTAAGCTCTTTTATGTAATGTCAAAAATTATGTCGAGAAAATGTGTACAAAAGATATAAATCAATAAATATTTGTTTTAACTTGTTCATCTATGGTGTAATGTAAATCCATATTCATATCACTCCAGTTTTCACAGTGTTGTAGCATCAGATTATTAATGCTCTGCTTTTTGTTTAACTTCATAGCTCTTATGCTTCATTTGTTTTTGTTTGTTCTTTGTCTAAGGAGATTTGCCTAAAGTTCCAAATGCTCTGATAAACTGTGCTGCCGTTGATTACGTTTTGTGCTATTAGATAACTATAAGTGGAAACTCAGGCATAAATTGACCAACATTTTAAAAGTAGTCATTGGAAACTTTTAACTTATTAACTTGTTTAATAAAACTTGCTTCCATGTTTTTGTGTGTTTGGGTTGTTTTGTGTGAATCATTTGGGTTCCTGACTAGCTTTCCGATCTTGGCTGAATCACTTTGGCTCATCCTGGCCAAAGTCCCTTTTATGTTTGCAGAACTCAGTCATGTGGTGTACTGTGGAAAAAAAAAAGTTCACTATAAATCCACTAAACGATTATAGTGGATTATTATATCATCTTATAGTATTTTTTAATCTTTAAACGAATTCTCCTCTGATAATACTCAGATAACACCTAGTTTTGTTAACTCTAGTGAAACACAGGTTTTCTGTGGGAGTGTGCTCTGAGAAGAAATATCTGAGGTCGGCAAATGGTATTTGTTTATCGACTCACACAGTTGGATTAACCACACTTTTGTAATTGAGTGGTCATGTTTCCGGTCACGCTTTGGGTGTTTGTCATGGAATTACCTGCCCACTAACGTGCAAAATTGCTGCATATGTCAAGCTTAAACATTTAACCCTGGAAGAGTCTCAGTAACTACATTTACAAACAAATAGTGGCTTAAACGTGGCCCCAATCAATGTAAGTTGATATTTAACTGTTTGCTGAGCAACTGCCAACATCTTACTCTCAGGAATTCTACCATTCACATTAGAGTAGTTTCTCCTTTTTTGGATAAGCAAGCAAAGATTTTTTTCGAATTCAAATATAAGGTAAGCTTAAACATATACGGGAATGTTTTTAATGTTTTTAACAGAGTTTAGAATATGAAAAATGTTAGAAAGTTGTAAATAGATTTTTCAAGTTTACGTAAGGTCTGCTAAACAGGTTATGGTGAATTACAGATTTCAAAATTAAAGGAATTAATTTGAATGGAAGATGTCCATAAACAGAATTGCATGTTATTCTTATTTTTAGTGGAATTTCTTGATATCTGTCGTCATTTTGTGGCTCATATTTTAGACACATTTCCAGGGGATCTGGGCTCCTTTATAAGAGATTACGATTGTGTGACAAAAGCGTTAAAACCAGCGGACAAAACAGCAAAAAATACAAAGGTGAGGATATTTTCTAAATATCTTTAATGGAATAATTTTTTTGGAGTGACCACTTTCCGGAGAATTTAATATGTGGGCTTTCCGAAATATTGACTGGTTGTGCATATGTTACAATTCTTTTTTTTTAAAAGTCCTGTTTCCAAGGGTTCAGAATACATTATACACATATTCTCTATCTCTCGGTTTCAGTATACGGACATGGATTTCTGCCTGACACTCCTGTTGATCTGTCTCTGCAGCCAAGGAGCTATTGTAAATAACCAAAACTATCTGAATAAGATTGCAAAAAATGATACCGAATACCTATCATCAGACAATTAGGCAATATTTTTGAGTCCACTGTTATTTTGTACTTGACAGTATGCAGATGAGGCAGAAGAGCAGTCAGTCCCTCTGGTGCCTCTCATGCCCAGTCTTCAAAGAAAAGTAAGAGGTAAAATGGAAGAATTGAATTTGCCCCTCTTCACCTCTTCTTCTCTCAAATATATTCTTTTATTTTTATTTATAGAATGGTACAGAAGAAGCTGTAACTCTCACAGAAACAGCCAACCAACCAACATCTACTGAAACATCAGATGAAGAAGAAATAGGTGGCTGCCAGTCGAACAGTGGAAGCCTGGAGCCCCTACAGGCCATCACGGCGGCCATTCAGAAACTGGGCGTACATTTACTGCAAAACCTGGAGGCGACGCCAGAGCAGCCAAATCTTATTATATCTCCTTTAAGCATATCCCTGGCCCTCTCCCAGTTGGCTTTAGGTAAGCGTGCCACACTCAAGTTTTGGCTTTGTTTTTGAAAGGCTCCTGAGTTTACTTCATTTGATTCTTTTTGTCTGATGAAGCCATACTCTTGCTTGGTCTGCTTTGCAGGTGCAGAAAATGAGACAGAAGAGCTGCTGATGCAGCATCTCCATGAAAACACTGTCCCCTGCTACCACCCATCTCTGCGCAACATCTTAGAGAAGCTCAAGAACAACGATCTGCAAATCGCCACACGCATTTTCCTGCATCAAGGTTCCTGTCCTACCACGTATTTGTGACTGAACTAAAAATTGCATTACCTGGAGTGTTTAGCCTAAAGGATCTAAGCAGACGTTGTGATCTTTTTTAGGGTTTGAGGCAAAGCAAGAGTTTCTAAGTGAATCCCAGCGGTTGTATAACTCAGAACCTGCGATCTTGGAGAGTCTTCAGCAGATAAATGACTGGGTAGAGAATGCAACCCAAGGAAAGATGACAGACTTCTTGGCTACTTTACCCCCCAATCTGCGGCTCATGCTCATTAATGCTGTCCATTTTAAAGGTGACTGAAAAATATATTTTTTTCTCTATAGGACAATTGATGATCTCTGTGATACATTGTTTTAGCTTTCTTAAGCATATGGAGATAGCAAATTATTTTAGCTGCCTCGGGATTAAAATACACTGCTGACTAAAACTGAGAATTTTGCTTTTTCCCCTCGTCTCACAGGAGAATGGAAAGCTCGATTTGACCCACGCTTTACTTCCAGGGGTGTGTTCTATCTTGATGACATGCACATGGTGGATGTTGAAGTGATGGAAGATGCCAAACATCCCCTGAGTTCATTTATTGACAGTGAACTGGAGGCCCAGGTAAAATACATTTGGATTATTTGTTTGCCCTACGACAATTATTTTTCTGCTCTCTTTCTGTGTTAGAATTTTTATCTTTTATACACATACTATTTTTCTGATACTGATTTATTTGAATTTATGTAGAATACAATTTTGCACTAAAGCTATTTCGTGTATTCAACTATACAATTCTCTTTAATAAATATGTTTTTTTGTCTCCAAGAAAATTGTAAGAAATATAATTTATATAATTAATAAAAGAAAATGTTCAAGCATGTAGAATTTTTACTTTATTTCTGCAGCATATTGTGCCATTTATTTAAATTATTTTCTTTTTTTTCTTGTATCAAATTCATACCTTCGTGTCATAACAGCAGAAATTCTTTAGTGTGTTTTGATCCTTTATAGGTTCCTTAATGACAAACAAAATCTTTCAAATCTCTCAAACTACTAGAGCTTGTAGGTCCATTTGTAGGTTTTGATCTTTTCATGAGATAATGACTTACGAAAAGTTTTTAGTAATTTTGATCTCCTGAATTTGTTTAGTGAAATTTATTTGATTTTGCAAATCTGATCCACCTTTTATCTGGATACAGCATGAAAAACATTCCCCCCAACTCTCATGTATTTCCTTTTTCTAAACTATGAAGATTGGTCCGGAATAGATTAAGAAACTGAAAAAAACTCAGTGTTGATATAGAAATGGCCCAGCCAGAAAACATGAAGCTCAACTTTACAGAAATAACTAACTAGTATGTTTTGCAAATGTGCTTTTTTCTGTGCAGGTTGCAAGGTTTCCATTCATGAAGCAGATGAGTTTGTTGGTAGTGATGCCCCTGTCTGGCCAAGTAAATGTGTCTTCACTTTCTTCAAAACTGAATATCTCTGACTTGTATGAACGTCTACCTAAAGAGAGAGCGGTCCAAGTCAAAGTCCCCAAATTCAAACTGGAATATTCTCAAGAGTTGCAGGATGTACTTATTAAACTAGGTAAAGACCTATTTCTTTCTGTCACGGACAAATAGTTTTTTAAAATAAAAATTTGAACATTGTACACACTCTCTATCTGCTTTTTTTAAGGTCTTGGAGAGATGTTCTTAAATCCTAACTTGGCTGGGATTGCTGATGGGCCTTTGCAGGTGTCCAGTGTGATGCACAAGTCCAGTATGGAGATAAACGAGGAAGGTGCAGAGGCTGCTGCCGCCACCACTGTTGTGATCTCAAGAGCATCTAATCCTATTTTTCATCTAAGTCAGCCTTTTTTCTTTGTACTCATGGACGATATCACCCAAGTACCGATCTTCATGGGTGTCATTAACAACCCCAGCCCCGGGGCCCCTATCCTGCAGAGAGGAGAATTTTCAAGCAAAGACAAAATGGGATTTCCAAATGACAAGAATTACATGGGCTCATTTGGAGGTCCTAAGTAAGGACTAAAACTTGCTCATTTCCAGATCCAGATTTTTTTGGGGGTGACAAAAGTAACTACATTTGGCTTTTTTCATTAAATATAACATTGACATTCGTTTAAAATTGAATTTTTGTTTAAATGGGTTTGTTCCAATAGATGACAGAGGATGAAAAAATTATAGACAACTATGGCAAAATTTGTTTATGCTTACATTTGCAATGCATGCATTCTTCACGGCAACAATACAAACCAAAATAAATGTGTAGTATTGATAAAATGTCTGTATGTTCTTGAATTATGTAATAAATTTGATTGATCCAAGCTATATTATTGTTATGAGTTTTGATAAATGATCTTGATTGAATTCAGAATTGATTTAGTGAAGAATACTGCTCAAGCCAAATATCAGTGCTTTCTAAAAGAGTAACTACTGGTCTCATTACAACTGTCATGGAGAGGGGAGAGTTCAAGGATAAGAAAATAGTAAGATTGCAGGAATGGACTGCTTGTGGCTCTTCACACACCGAAGGGAAACACTTAGTTTCCATGCAGATTTAACATGCGTACAGCATTTCTGATGGAAGCCAAATAAAGGACTACCTCGTTTTCTTTTTGTGCCCTCATTTTCAAAGTTTTTTTTTTCACAGTATATTACTTTCCTTGTTGAAGCTACAGCTGGAAATCAAAAGTGCATGAGGTTTAGGGATACTAATTTGTCAAAATATGTTCATTTGATTGAATATTTGCAACATAAATCCTCTGATAACTCGTGTTTTATTTGTTGGATTTTCCTTCACAGACAAAATCATGACTGAACTCGCATTTTCTCCCTCAAGTCTCCGTTAAAGCCCATTTTTCCCAGTTTTACATGCCATTGAACGCATCGCGGCTGCACTTGACGTCAGTCATAATTTGGCGCTGAGAAACAACCCGCTGGTCTCCGGTCAGTTTTACTGCTCGTACAAAGACCGGGAACGTACGGTGCCAACAGGTTCAAAACTGACGTCAGATCTGTGAACGGAAGCGGAACTGTGCTGCGACTTTAACACTTGGCGCGCGCGCTGCAGTAACTTGGCGCCACAAACAGAGCTAACAGCAGCAGCAGCAGCAGTGCTCGTTTGTTGTGCGGAGAATTCAGCAGGTTGAGATTTTGAGACTAAATAGTTTTTTTTACAACTATGGCGAAGCTGTCAGAAGGCGCGATAGAGGTAAGGTTTAGGTTTGTAGCTAAATAAGAGGTTAAAATGTGTTGTTTATACTGAAACATACTGTTTGCCATAACTGATTACTGTTTTGACTATTGTTTAAGCTGGGATGGCCAGCAAACATTTCTTATTTTCCCAAACTTAAACGCCACAACCAACCGTTTATTTAATCTTATCCTAACTGAATTTGAGTTACTCTTAATATTTCTGATAATAATAGATTATACTATAATACAGAAGTAAAGTTCTTGCCGAGTTAGAACACAAAGGAGGACGTTAGTTTTTGTAAATTACCCCCTCCCCTCAAAATGAATCGTCTCAAATATGTCTAATAGGAACTTAATTGTTTGTGTTTACAGTCACTTGCAAATGGCACCAGTGTCAGCGACGCCGTGCTTCAGTTAGTGGTGAGTAACACTGACCGGAGGGGAGACCTTGCTTTGACTAATTCATTTCTGCTACAGAATTAAGACCAACAGTGGCCTTCAGTCTCCTGCTTTCCAGCTTTATCTATTTTTTGTTGTAAACTAGATCTACAGTTTTAACCCCATCAAGTTGCGAACTAAAGCTGGATCACTCTGTAAAATAACCCTAAATTGTATTTTATCAGTCAATATAGGTAGGTTACCATTTTGGGTTTTGGCTAACATATTTTTTTGTGATCATCAAAAGATCACAATTGGCTTATAGTAAGATGTGTATGTATTTTTTTAACATTTAATTGATATTTTCACTGGATAGAGTTGTACAAACAATAGCACGTCTGGATTTATGTATGTAATCAATATTGTCTATTGCACATGACATTATAGAACATTCGCAAGATTGATGGAGGAAGTGGGCCATCTCGCTTTCGGGTGATGATGAGTGATGGACGGCATACTCTGTCTTGTAAGTCTGTGCATCTCTTCAGTTTTCCATATTTATCATGAAGGTGCAGTTTGGAAAAAAATCTGTCTGATGGTTTGAAGGACTAAATGGCAGGTTCATTAACCAGATCATTTAGCATTGATTCTTGTATAAAGTACCCACTTACATTTTAGTGCATGGGCTCTTTTATGTGTTCACATGTTAAATGTCTTTTAACAATAGCGACAATTTCCTCTGATGTTTCATTATGTGAATGGGTGGCTCGAATTGCAAAGAGCACTGGGTAGACTTTTCCACAATCAATGGAATTCAATTTTAAATTGAATGTCAGGAATGAACAGCTTTTCTTATGCTTTAAGTATTTATTCAACATTGTATCTTGAAGATTATATTTGAAGGGACACCCTCCCCTGACAGAACCCTCTCTCCATAGCAAATTTAAATAATCAGAATTTAATTCCATCTCATTTATACATTGCCATGTCAAATTATTAAAGAGCCATGTCTTGTGTAAACGGTTGATTGGAAATTGATCTATATTTGGAGAACACTCCTGTGCTATAGTATGTTTTTATTACAACTAAAGCCTGTGATACATGGCTAATCAAAATGTTGCTGGTATTAAAACTGGAAGTGTTCCTTTAAATCCATATCGCTGAACGCTCCAGCTGGTTGTGGGTTTGAAATATTGGTTAACAGATCAGATGGTTGTAAGCTTGTCACAAAAACAATGGCAACAATAATACTGAAGTTTTACAGATGCTTTAAAAGCTGCTGCTCCTGAAGATAAATCGGCAGCAGTAGCGGAAACAATGCTGTGAATGTTCCCTCTAATGGAAGCCATTTTATTTGTGAAGAAGCTGGCAAACTCATCACCACTGAGAGTTGAAGGAATTCACGGCTGAATAGAGCTTTAACTTTGAGTCAGCCTATCTGCAGGGCTGAAAAGAAAGTGTGCTTCTTATTCTCTTCTATCTATGATGAATGATAAGCATTCCTTGCTCTGTGAAGAGCCTTCTCATGTTCTTTAAGTTTTTTATGGCAAAGTTGAATTAGTAAGGCTCCGTTTTGTTTTTTGTTTTCCCCAAGCCTTGAAGAGTGCTTTAAAACCCAGAGTTATGAATTCATCCAAGAATCTGGCCTTTTATGGCGATTTTCCTTTATACTTCTATCAACAAGATCATACATTTATATAAGAGTAATGTTTGGTTATTTTCCCTCTGCAGGACTGGCACACGGTTGTGGATAAAAAGCAAAAAGATATTCAGCAACTCGTGTTTAATGATTAATTTTTTGCATTGCAATGTTTTCTTTTAGTTTTGACTTCTATCTGTCCATGTTTGCAGCCTTCATGCTCTCTACCCAGCTGAACTCCATGGCTGAGGAAAACGTTCTGGCCCAAAACTGCATCTGCGTTCTCAAGAGACATGTGACCAACGTCCTGAAGGACGGACGGTATGCCGACTCTTCTCTGCATTCACTTTACTTTAAAGAGCACTTTGGGGAGATGCAAACACGTGTGAAGCTATGTTTGGAACGCTGCATATGAATTAACACAAAAGTTACCAGGCTGTGTTCTTTCTCAGACGAGTGGTGATCATTTTGGAAATCGATGTCATCAAACCTGCCCAAGAGGTTGCTGGTAAAATAGGAGATCCGGTTCCTTATACTGAGGGTGAGCTCCTAAAACACATCGTCCATTGGAATTGAGGCCGATATTCTGGGATGTTCGGTCAGACATTAAGAGTCACTGTTTGCTCCACACAGGTCAGAGTAAAGGCCCACAGCAAGCCCCAGTCCACGAAAACAGAGCTCCGCTGCAGCCACAGAATAGAAATGAAGGTTAGTGCCAGCTTCTGTATAAACAGGATTTGGAAGAGGAGAGGGCAGAATTTCCAGGTTGTGAGAAATAATTCTTTGAAAGTAAATAAATGGCCACCAGATGGCAGCATTTTCTGCCACTGATATGAATGGAGGGGTTTCACAGAGCATTTTTGATAGACCCATTATTTACCTATTTATTCTTAATCCTTAGCTTTTTCAGACATTTTCTCAGGAGCATTTTTTTTTTCTCTTTTCACCCTTTAAATTCCCCATAACTGTGTGTTTTGAGAGAATGTATTTCCTGTCATGAAGAGCAGTTTTGATGCAGAGCTTTCCTGCCTGACTGTGACACCTGTTTGCGGCACGCATTCAATAAGTCAATCTGTGTTTTAAACACTGTCGGGTGTTATCAGCTGAGCAGGAAAATCCTGGTATTGCAGATAACTTGCACTAGGAAAGATTTCCAATCCAGCTGTCAGAGAGGTTTTGCTGTCTTCTTGTGTGTGTGTGTGTGTGTGTCATAGCAGGTATTCATCCCTCTAATCTGCCACGTGGGAATTGAGGTTATGGCAACCATCCTCCTCATCATAACAGTCATTGTTCATTTCTCTGTGTGTGCTGCTTGATCTGGGGGCTTAATTACCACAAGTGCAGTGGTTGGCAAAGTGGCAGGACTTAAGTGGACACTTTGAACTCTAATCCTCCGCGTGAGACGCACACAAATCAAATGTGCAGTCCTTGTTCAAACGGAAAATTTCAAAGTCAGGCAGCGCCGCTCTCTAGGGGAAGAGCAGCTCCAGTTTGTTATAGAATTTCACACCCTGGCCTCATTCTGTGAAACGTGAATCATTTTTCCTTCCAAAATGCTGGATCACGCATCGACAGGGCCTTTGACTGGTAGTCTCTCTCGTCAGCACTGGTAGATGTATTTCGAGCTGCTTTTCTTAGACGAAACCTCTGTCGTGACATGAGATAATTACCGTGATCAGACATTTGCAATCCAAAGAAATTAGGTTTTTGGTAATTGTGAATTTATATTGGTTCCTCTCTTTTGACTCCTTTCCATCTCTGCTCTTGGATAATTTATTTTTTCTCTTTTAGCAGTGAACAGGGGCTTCAACAGAGACTTTGGGAAAAAGGCGCCGTCTGCTATGCCCAGTACTCCAGGGGGCTCCTCCAAAGTTGTGCCCATTGCCAGCCTCAACCCCTACCAGTCCAAGTAAGTGTTGCTCCGAGACTGGGAAATATCTAGAAGTGTCTCAGTATCAGCGCAATACCGCATACAACAAGTGAAAATGGGCTACCGACAGTTTAAAATGTAGCCTTTAAACAAAGAATTAGTGTGTTTCATTAACAAGCCTTTTCTTTCATAACATTTTAGTTCTCATTTTACCCAAGAAGAGTAGTTTTGGTAAAGCTCTGCAGTTAATATGTTTTTAAGACATAATCTTCCACATTTTAACTGCACATGACTCTCTCATGGATGAAATCTGCCAAAAAAACAATAGTTGCATAGGATTTCACCAAAGCAGGGAGTTGTGTCTGCAGGGAGTTGTCTAACAAAATCTCTTATGCAAAAGAGTAATGGTCATAAAGGACCACCAGGGGGCAGACTATTAACAGCTAGAGCTGACTAAGAAAAGCCTTCATATAAATCAATCAACATGACCTTGACGTTCTGAGATCCTAAGATCTTCTGTGACCTCCACTACTGTCACATTCTAACAGGTGGATGGTCCGTGCACGTGTAACCAACAAAAGTGGGATTCGCACTTGGAGTAACTCCCGAGGTGATGGCAAACTCTTCTCCATGGAGATTGTAGACGAGAGCGTAAGTGTAATCCAGCCATTTAATTGTTTTTATTACAATTTTGTAAATAAGCCTAAACAGTGTTTACTCTTGAAATCTTGTATTTTCCCTGACCCACTTTTTTGTCGTATTTGCCGGATTTATATTAGTATTTTCTTTACATTTAATTTCAGGGCGAGATCCGAGTGACTGGGTTTAACCAAGAGGTGGACAAGTTCTACACGCTGATTGAAGTTGGCAAGGTGAGATTCTTCTCCAGATACTTATTCGGCATCTTCTAATTACCTGCCAAAAGAAGTGTTTCACCGTGGCGTCTAAGACCGATTTGGCGGCGCACTCTTCTGCCAACCGCTGCCAGCACTTTGAGTTGAAACCACAGAGACTTTGAATGAGTCATCTGGCTGCCACATACCCGTACAATAAGCTGCTTATGATCATCTGCCAGCCTTTGTTGATGTTTCCCTCCATCCCACTTGCCGTCTGAAGTCTTGTATAGTTTACATCTTTCAGTCAGGTGAAATGCCCCGCAGATCTCTGATTAACCTGTGGTTCACCCATCTGTTTGAGCCAGGTCTACTACATCTCCAAAGGCTCCCTGAAGATTGCCAACAAACAGTACAGCTCGGTGAAGAACGACTATGAGATGACGCTCAATGGCGAGTCCACCATCATCCCGTGCGAGGACAGCTGCGATGTTCCCATGATGCAGTGCGATTTTGTCTCCATCGGGGACTTGGAGAGCCGAGACAAAGATGCCATTGTTGGTAAGGAACCGATGAGTTCTGGTCTTTTCAGAAGTTTCCAGTCCACTGGTTCTTGGATACAGCTTTGTGCAGTTTTGCTCAACAGTGCTGAGGCTGCAGTGACGCCAAGACTGGCCACTCAATCCCCCCTCTCCCCTTCTTGTCTGTATAGTTGTCATTTCACTGAATGAGTCTATAGCAGCCTGTCAGAGCAGAAGGGATCTTAAGGGGGTAATCATACTACCTCTGTGCTCCAGAGTGGTCTGCGGTCAGTGGAAGAGGGAAAAAAAAAGATTCTCTAAATCCACGCTCGATCAGTAAACTTCATTTAGTTAGAATTCTCGCACACAATATACAGTCCTTATGAAATATGTTTTTTTTTCTTTTTCGTAAATGTTGTGATTCATGAACTACGTCTTTGTGGATTATCAAACGACTTCACAAAGGCTGTGGTCCACAGCCGATCTGCACTGCTGTCATTGTAGTGTTTTTAGGCACAGCCCAGTGCATCCATGACTTGTTTTTTTATTTCTAAATAGTCTGTGTTACAAACACAGGTATCATGTGTTTCCCTTTTCTTAAGGCATGATGAAGCAGTGCTCATTGCCGTTGTTTGATGCTGTGAAACCTAAATACATTGTAATTACCGTTCACACTGCGTTGCAAAGAAGCACAAACCAACTAAGTGATGCTTTGCTCGGCTCCCGCTGAGGTGTTCCCCAGCATCAAATAATAAGCTGTTGGAAACTATGCGGATAGTTTGTTGCACAGGCTAGAATCGGATATGGTGGGAGGTGGAGATAATTACAGTACTCAAGCAGAGATAAGTTGTATTATTACACTAATGACTATAATAGACTGTAGTGCAGATTGACTTTATACCCTATGGCAGAGCTAATGAGGAAACAAGAATCTACTGTCATTGGTAAATGAAATAATGGTAAGGTAATCTTGTAATTCTTGAAACGAAAATGGCTTCTCAAGCTGCCTGTTAAGTATTTCCACTCCTGTATAGCAGCCGACAAAATTTCTCAGTCTTTGTGGAAAGTTAAATGGAATCAAGTCAACACTGGGTGTGGAGTGGAGTTAGAAAACAGTGTTTGATGATGCTGCTCTTGCACATCAGATGAGCAGTCTGCGCCTGCAAATGCTGTCCGCGCTGCCCCATAAAAAAGAAATTGGGAGTTAATATTTTAAGTTCTGCTCTTTTTGATTCAGCCTCCGACCAGCAGATAAGAAAACGTTCATATCGCATAATGAAATTAGCTTGATTTTCCTCTTTTATATATCCTGTCAAAGCCCTTTCAGAGGATTTATTTATTTATTTATTTTTAAAGTAAAAAAAATGAAAGTAAAAGCCTTTCACAGAGAGAAGACCCCAAACAGTTCCTGTCTGTTCGACTTACGGCATAAAGCACCATCCAGATGCCCTTCTGTGAATAGAGAATCGGCCGGGCCCTGAGCAGATTATTAAACCCCGTGTCGGCTACTGTGCGTAACACAGATTTGTTTTTCATTACAGATGTTATCGGAGTGTGCAAGAGTGTAGACGAAGTGACCCGATTCACAACCAAGGCCAACCGAGAAGTAACTAAGAGAACACTAAATCTGATGGACATGTCTGGGAAGCTGGTGACTGTCACGCTGTGGGGAGAGGAAGTGAGTAAAGGCTAAAGTGTGTAATGGAGCTGTGCTGTTGCATCTTTAGTTTCTTAAATTGACATTGACGTAATACTGTGAAGCTCACCAGACCTTTTATTAGGCCGATTATTTATCACTTGGCTTATTTGCATTGAGGGAACGATGCCAGGTGAAAGGTAAGCACATGTTCAACGTGAGCTGATGACACACGTTTACTTTGATGCTCTGGAGTGCTCCATGCGAGACATTTAGTTTGTCTGTCTTCACTTTTCTCGGGAGAATTAGATCAGCCAGATTAAAAAAAAGGTTGTCGCACCTCAACAACTGGAGAGCTCAAAGCAAGCTCTGTGCATTTTGTTTAATTGATCTGGATACGTTTGAAATGACTAACTGATGGCTCCGTCACTGCGAGAGGGAGGAGAAATCCCCCGTTGATCTCTCTCGCCTCTGGCTCCGGGGGACTGTGCAGAGTTTGCCACCAAATTCCTTCCCTCTAAAAGGAGCGTGTGACAGACACCCAATTTCCAATGGGATGTGATAAAATGCACTAGATTTATGTTTCTAAAGAACAGCAGCAATACCAAAGGCTGAGTGTTGCAATATTGTTCCCCGACTCGTCTTCCACACTCTTCTTTTAAAAAGTTGAAAAAGTGTGTGAAATTAGTTTTTGGGGGAAAAAAATGTGATCTTCCAGCAAAAAAAAATGCTTTTGATTTATTTATTTTTTTTGTCTTGTTTGTTTTCTTCTTTTACAAAAGTTTATGAAATAGCTTTTTTTGAGCCAAAACGATGAATAATCCTTCCTGCTAAACACATGCCTTTTAACTGTAGATTCAAATTTGGGACAGAAGAGATGTAATAAACCCCTCTGTTTGTTCTGCTTTTCTCTGTGTTTTTGCAGGCTGAAAAGTTTGAGGGTTCTGGGCAGCCCGTTTTAGCCATTAAAGGGGCCAAGCTCTCAGACTTTGGAGGCCGCTCACTTTCAGCATCATTCGGCAGCACCCTGATGACCAACCCAGATATCCCCGAGGCATACAAGCTCCGGGCGTGGTGAGTTAGCATTGACAACATAGTCTGGCAAATTGCTCATTTAACCTTTTAAAAAAAAATTAAATTAATTTTTTTCTTTTTCTTTTAGAATTGTATAGAGATATTTAACATGGAGCCCCAGATACTTTTCTTGATTTGAATTTTTTTTAATGATTTTTTCCTCCTTTTCCACCCACTTGAATTTTATTCTTCTGTGCAGAATTTTTTAGGCCTCATAAGTTTTTTTTATTTTTATTTTTTTACATTGCAGAAGCTGTGAGTACATGCTCTGATTCTCATGAACAAGATTAGCCTTCCCCATTAGCTACTATGTGGGGGGTGATTCAAAGAAGGCTTGCATTTAAATGGAAATCGTACTTAATCTGTGGAAATGTGTTTTTTTAATTCTCCACTCCTCTAATCACTTTTCCAACTGAAATAATATCCCGACTCCTTTCAGTGTGATTATGTATATTGAGGCTTTTTCTTTTACAAGTGTGTGTTGTTTTCACATGAACACAGAGGATTACTTTGCAAGAGTCTTTAAAACACAGTTGTTTGTGTACATGCTTTTATATTTGCATGAAAAATAGTTCAGCCAAATAATCGTAGCATACTGCACTATCCCAAGTAATTCCTTTAGGTTTTTCTGTGTGCCAGAGGCGAGGATGAGTTATGTTTTGCCCACGCCACTTGTTTGAAGTAAAATAAGTATCCTATCTTGGCACATGATTGATAGATGAGGGCTGTTACCTTATCGAACGGATTCGACTCCCCCTCGTAGAGCCCCCTACAGCAAGCTGTCTGAACACTCCCCTCTGACACCGAGGCAAATGTCTCTTTGTGAGAAGACATCCAATTGATGGTTTTAATTTTATTTCCAGTACGACATCACCGATCACCAGCATGTCTCTGCCACCAGAGTATTTATTTCCATTTCATCTGTAACAATGAAAATGTGAAGTTCAAACTTAAAGGGCTTTTTTATTTGATTTAAGATAGAAAATCCTTAATTAAGACCCCTCCAGAAGCTCATGCCTCTGTCTACCTGCACATCATTAACTCCCTGTTGCAGACTTTACACACTCATTGTGTTCTTTCAGGGTTTAATGACGGACAGTTGTTTTCCACTTGGAGTCTTTTCTCACTTGGACAGGGGGAGATAATTAACCTTAAATCTTTATGTTGCCTTACTGCACTGCAGATGGGGGGCGGGGTAATGCTATAGGGGGTCCTATACAGACAGCGGGGTCCTCTTCACCCGCTAATGAAGAGTTTAAAAGCCATAGATCAGAGGCCCAACCTGACTCATTAGTCTCAATGCAAGTCAATATGGGTGGGAATTGTGGCCTGAATAAGATGCAGCTTGTCTGAGGGCTGTTGTGCACCGGATGGTAAGGACCCCCCCCCCTTTCTTTCTTTCTTTGTATATTTTGCTGATATAAAATGCAGCCAAGATATGAAATTTGGCACAGAAAAGTGTATGGGCCCCAGAGACGCGGCTGCTAAAGACACATTGCTTACTCCTGCTGAGTCTTGTCGATTTGACAGTGTTTTGGTGCAGACCTTTGGGACTCTCCAAATGAATAGTCTGTCCTTGGTGGGCTGTTGTCTCGCTCATGCCGGGTATTTGTCTCCTGCACGGCTTTTGCTAGCATGCTCGTCTGAAAAGATGAGAGGTAGCTCTTTATTGCCTCACTGATTAACTGGACAGAAGAAAGCTTCAATAGCTTTTAATAAGACTTAGGTGCTGTGCACATATAGCCCTGCATTCACAGCTCATTTGGAGCACACATGAATGGACGTCTCCTGCGTCTTTCAGGCAATTTCACAAAAGCTGTCGAGTGTATGACGTCCATGCCGCACTCAAACTGCAGCAGCAACTCATTTGGTTGTGCTGCTTTTCTCCGTTCTGATAGACAGCGCCATTGCTTTTTTCCCCCCTTTTTCTTCTCCATCAGGTTTGTTCTTGGTGCTTGATGCCATCAACCTCACACATTCACCCTCACCTAATTTATTCACAAGTACACGGTGACATTTTCCCTTCGTTTTTTGCTACTCCAGGAATTCCACATGGAGAGGCATAGAACATACTTGGGGCCGGTTTTACCTGTAGTCAAGGCAACATTGACCACAAGAAACAATCTGTCTATAATGAAAAGATTCTGTTGGAATTACTGTTTCACCCAAATATCCTAAATGGTGTGTTGACTTGGACAAATAAAATAGGAATGATTCCTGGCTGAATTGCAGAGTTATGGGTTGTACAAGTCCCACTGAACTGATTCAAAGTGTTGTTTGCTAATGGTGAGATTTTTTTTTCATTAACACATTTGGGTCTTTGCTGTGTTCTGCTTAGTTCTTTAAGTCCAGTGAGGAACGATGGCCTGCTTTGACAGATTACTGCTGTTAAGGATGTGGGGTGGCCTATATGTTGAAGGATCCTGTTTTTCTGTACCCTCTTTGGGGTGTCCACTTAATGGACTATGAGTGTGGGGCATTAGGAGAGATGAATGGATAAGGAAAGGAAAACCATAATTAATTCGCTCACAGCTGTTACCTTGTAAAGCACAAATATTTGTGAGTCTCTGGGTTTTCTGTGAAAAGTTACTGTTTGTTTGTTTTGTGTGTGTTTTACCTAATTAGGGCTCTTGGTTTTGTAACTGACCTTGTATGGAACAGTTTTATTTATGAGGACCAAATCCAGTTCTCAGTGTGGCCAAACATTATTTTGATGGCTCTAATCAGTGTTGGAGTGAAACTGGGGTTTGATGTCTGGGTTGGGTAATCTGGTGGTGATTAGGCTGGATTCAGATAAATTAGCTTCAGGCGTCAACAGGCTTGCTTCTCATTCACAAACGCAGCGGTGTCTCATTGCCGGATTAAACTTGGGCTCACCTGCCTCTCTTTGCCAGCGTAGCTCGCAGTTTCAAACGGCGGCAGAGATGCCAGCCAATCGCGTTGCGTCTGATCTCGCGCAAGCATCAGGCCCAGCCGCCGGTGAGCAGAACCCTGAGCCCGGCGTGTGAGTCCTGACGAGGTGTTGTGATGAAGTCTACGCAGGGCCGATGAGTGCAGAAGCGGTCGTATGCAGCGTTTATGCCTTTTGAATTATCCCTATTGCCAATTGCGGCATCTGACACCACTTGACTTGCTTCAGATGAAGCGGTTTAACAACATGTCACACACACCGTGGAGAAATTGTGTTGTTGGTGTGTTTGTTGCTCTCAGCTCACGCATGAGAGTCTTAGCCCGGAGCTGAGAACACTGCTTACTGCTAGCTTTCCCCTTATCCCATCATGCCTCCTCCTCAGAGATGTCTCTGCTCTTTTGCTGTTCTTGCTCGGTGACATGTTGACATTTGACATGTCTGAGTCGTACTCATGCAGACTTCCACTCAGGTAGTTTGTCTCACTAACACCTCTCCACTTGAAGCTAGAATCTGCCATCTTTCAGTCGTCTGCTGCCCATTTTCTGCCAGAGTTATACGGTCTTCTCCTCGCTCACACCTTCAGCATATTTCATGCCATTTCCCTTCTCTGGTGTACTTAAGTCTTTGGATGACTCCCTATTTAGTTTTCTTGGGAACTTTAGGTGCTTTTTGTCCATAGGAGTCATGAGTAAAATCTGAAATAAAAATTCGATCACCATACTAGATTTTTTTCTGTGTTCTAGGATGTCAGGCCATGGTGGAAAAAAGCATCCACATTATGTTATAGCTTTGTCAGAGCTCTCCACGGGGGGCACCCACAATTGTGGCGTATCGCGCAGGTGCACCAGGCTGGAAATTGGTGCCACTGGAAAGAATCGCTGACATTTGTCAGCAGAAGTGGGAAATGGGCAAGCTTTTGAGTTGCTCAGGCCACAGTCTGAATTGTTAATTAGTGGGAGGGGGAGGATTTTCAATTAGTCATGCCTCCAGGAGCGAGGCATGCTCTGCTTGTGTTTGCAGAGCGACTTTCCCATTGTGTGGCCCTCTGCCTTTTAATTAGTAAGACCTGTAGAATTTACATTGTACCCCTGCACGTTTTGCTCTCCTACCTTGTTTTTCCTCTTGTTCTTTATTGTCTTTCCCAAGTTACTGAGAACATTGTTTGAAAATGGGGTTCTAATGGCGCCACAACAGCCTGAGTAAGCTCATTGGTTCTTCTGTGGTTGAGCCTTTTCTCAGACTCTCAGGCTTAAATTTTCTCAGATGAGCTATTTCTGTTTTGGCAAAGACAAACGGATTCTCTGCCTGGGACCAGATAGCCGTTTAGTTTTTTTTTTTTTTCCTCTCTCTTTCAAAGTGGAAAATCTGCTGTCAGATGAAAGCAATAGACTATTATGGCTAATGCTTTTGTTCTTGTTGTCAAAACAGACGGTGCTTCAGCCACTTACTCTGTCTATTGTGTCCAGTAGAGAAATGGTTAATCAATGAAAATCACTGTTTTCATTGAGGTATGGCTGTGTTGAGTTTGTAGCACTTAAACTAACACCAGCTCTACACGGTGAAAGGGAGAGTGAGGTGAGACCGTGTGCGGTTATTACCGGTCATCAGGGTTAAGGTTCAAACAGCTCCTTTTCGACCTGGAAACTGAGTATAAGATCAGTATATTATTCACCGCTGAAATGACTGCCAGTTGGCTTTTACATCAAGAACCTGAGGGAGCAGGATGATGAATGAGCCAAAGGTGACGCGCAAGCTATTTAGATAATGAACTGGTGATCTGTCATTTGGAGTCCTTCAGAAAGACAAAAGGGCAAAAATGATTAAGATGGTCATTTTCTTTTTTCTCTTGGTGCTCTGTGGAAATATACCAAGTGCCTGCACTTAGTCGGACAAAATAAGCAACACGATAGTAGCTGAGGTGACATTAGCAGACTATGATAATGACTTTATTTTGCGTAGGTATGACCGGGAAGGCCATGCCATGGATGGACAGTCCCTGACGGAGATGAAAGGTGGCGGCGGGGGAGGAAACACCAACTGGAAGACTCTGTCTGACGTTAAAACCGAGCATCTGGGACACGGAGACAAGGTACACACATGCACAGCTTTGTCCTGACACTGACAATATGGTAACCCTGGATATATTGTTATTCAAGAAAGACTCTTTGAAGATATTCAAGGACGAGCTGAAAGACCGCCACTGAATCCCAAATAACAAATATGAAAGGCTCGCAGCCGAGGAGCATTTTTTTGTTTCTTAACCCAAAGCACACACTGCAGGTTGAATGTATTATTTCACAATCTAGCTTTGCCGCCGTCTTCTCTAAAAGGTTTTTGGCTTACTGTCAGTGTGATTAATCTTTACAATCAGTAAATCATAAAATAACTGCATCATTAGGTCTGTGCGCCCAAAATGTGCTCCCACCAACACTTTTGTCTCCCACAGCTCATTAATCCCTCAGTGTTGAGGGTGTCCCCACACAGTCCAGGTGTGTGTTCTTGGTGAAAGTCATATTATGTCTGGTATTGATTATGAAGATTACATGGGCACTGTTATTTGCCCGCTATAATAAAATGACAGCCTCATGATAAGTAATGTTTTGTTAAATTTCCCCCTTTTTTTCCATTCATACTGTCAAAAGAAACTGTCCCCCTACTACTTGGAACTTGTAGTCTACCACCTCCAGTCTCAGTAAGGTGGGGGCAGGCTGTCCACTTGGAACATAAAGATGACCACAGCTAGCTACCGTCTTTGATTTGGGGTTGCAGAACATTTCAAATTTGACATTGAGATTTTTTTGAGTACGGTAATCTTTTGAGTAATTAACTACAGCCAAAGTGTTGGGGGTTAGGTGTCACCACAAGAATGTATGCAATTAATTTAGCATGTCAAAGTCTTTGTGTCACAGCTTAAAGGCTCCACTCTGCTCTTTTGCCCTCACTGTCAACAAGCGGTCGCCTTCTTCTTGTTGGCTTGACACTTCGCATCTGATAGCGTTTGACAGAGACATAAAACAGGTCCGCTGCTCCTCCTCCTCCCATTGGTCAGTTACACACTAATTAGAAGCCTATATTTGATGGTGGTCAAAATAGTCATTAAGTAGTTTATCCAGCTGATTGTTGGAGAAGAATGATTTTCCTTTGGACACTTTTTAGGAATCCCCCCACCCCAAGTCCTCATACACAGAATGAGGGCTTGTGTATTGTAATATGCCAAAGTTTGCTAGACTTTTCTCAGCTCCCCCTTGAAAACTGTTCACACACTGTAACATGTACTTCCTGACTAATTTTCTCTGAAATAAACTGACCTGTTATGCCTTTCTTGATCCCTTAGGCTGAGCACATCAGATATGAGGTATCAGAGAGTCAAAGCCTTCCTCAAATAGCAATGTATGAAAATGCAATCTGATGTAAGAGTGAAAGACCAAAGGACCTGTAGTTGAGCTCGCAAGTGCTATCCTTCCCCCAATCAGCTAACATCCATCTTCTGACTGTTGTGGAAGTGTTTTATTGGCATTCAACGCCATGTTAAATCGATTCTGCTCTGGCTACAGACTTTTATTGGCTTGACGTGATGTAAAAAGCCACCGAGTTGCACATACTAATTTTCAGCCGTGGTGCCGGATGGGGCCGGAATGAGTGCGTACAGCGTACTGGCTGTAACATCTGGCTCTGCGAAAAGATTGCATGCAAGGAGAGAGCAGATTGATTTTTACTGTCTGGAAAACAGCTGGCAGCTCACTCACGGTCCCACTGTGTGGAGCTGGTGTTCACAGTTCTGTCAAAAATAATAACTAGCCCAATTATATTGCTCATTTCTCAGAATGATTATTCTGGAGGGAGCATTTAACACTTCAAACACCTTTTTGCCCAAAAGAACTGAAGGGAAGCTGATCATTGAGATCTCGGGTACTTGCTGTCCTCAACACTGGAATTGTGGATGTCCTGTACACAGATCCTCTGATAAGGTTTTATAAACATCTGTGATGAGAGACATCTGTTCATTCAGGTGCAGGGCAGATGCATAAAGAGGCGTGGTACAGCTGAACCGTTTGCTGTGCAGAGGAGCTGCCTGCTTGACATTTTTCCAAACCCTGCTTCTGTTCGGGGATGAAGAGGTTAATTGCACGGCATAAAGTTGGATGCTGGTCCCTGTGTCAGCTTGTTGGTGTTTCTTCTTGAGGGTGAATGTTTCTGCAAGGTGTGCGTTTTCAGAATGCATCAGTCAGCATTTCACATAGTTGCAATTTGTGGGATTTCAGATCTTCATAAAACGTACAAGCTTTTTGTGCATGTAACAAGAAGACTCCTGCCTGTTACAGCAGGGTTTGATTGATTTTTTTTCCCTTCTTTTTTTTCTTTTGGTGTTGTCGATTTGGGGGAAAAAAAGCCTTCCTCCTGCTTAGGCAGTCCTGCCAGATGTTGGTGCGACCGATGTGACCAATCGCTTTCACTTTATTTCATTACAGCATATTCTGACTTGGTTGTATTTCCAAGGTTCTCTCTAAAATAGATTCATTCCACTGGTTTCAGCAGTTTGCTTCCTCTTCACAAATGAAGCAGCATCTTTTTTTTTTTTTCTTTTTCCTTCGGGTAGTTTAATCATTGCATCTGCTGCTGAAATGTCTCTGCCAGATTATGCACAAACATTGCTCCTGAAAGTCTTATCTTAATGTAAATTTCCATCATTTCTGTCGGCATGTTGGGCAGACAGCCAGAGGTCTTAAGAGCAGGCAGTCTGCATCTGATAGAAGAAACATTTTTTTCGTGAATTTTTTTCAAATGAATTTTTTTTCACCCTGACCTTCTCATACAGACTTTGGTTTACTTCTTCCTTTTTTTCAGGCAGACTACTACACCTGCATAGCCACCATAGTATATCTGCGCAAGGAGAATTGCCTCTATCAAGCCTGTCCGAGCCAAGACTGCAACAAAAAAGTGGTTGACCAGCAGAATGGCATGTACCGCTGTGAGAAGTGTGATAAAGAGTTCCCCAACTTCAAGTACCGCCTCATCCTCTCAGTAAGTGACTCAGCACTGGTTTAAAGCTTCCGACTCTATTTATTTCTTTTCCTGTCTGAACTTCTGAATTTGCACTCCTATTCACATTAAATGCCTCCATGCATGCAAGCGCACGCGTATGTAATGTTTTTGTGCCTTACTCGGAGCTGATTTATCTCCCGGGCATCGCTTGTTTTGGGTGTAAATCTGGCAGCTCTCCATACATTATCATCACTTTACAGAAAGTGCAAGGATGGACACAAATCCAAACCATTTTTCTTCAATTTATGTGACTTTTTTTTATTTTTTATAACAAATAAGCTGCTTTTTTGTACTTTTTTGTGATATATTGTCCATCTCCAGAAACTTTAGCACGAACTGTCTGTTTCTGTGGGAAAGGAACTGCTTGGGCTTTGTGTTTACCTTTGCCCTTCCACCCTGTTTTCACCAGGCCAACGTTGCAGATTACGGGGACAACCAGTGGGTGACCTGCTTCCAGGAGAGCGCCGAGGCCATCCTGGGCCAGAATGCTGCTTACCTGGGGCAACTCAAGGACTCGGTGAGCCTCGGCTTGGAGAAAAAATAATAGTCGCCTCAGGAAATAAGCAAAGCAGGAGCCAACAAACATCCAGCTCCATTGTTGCCAACCCCGCACACACACATCTCCATAAATAAACAAACACAGATGAATCAGACACAGACAGTTTTTACTTACTTATTTCTGAGCCAGCTTAATGAGCGATTTCTGCAGTTTTTAAGTTTCCGCTGCTCAGACACTCAGAACATTTATGTCTGACTGGTAAAAATGTGAATGACCTTTTTAAAATTGTCGTCGTTGTGTTTGAAAACAGAATGAATCTGCGTTTGATGAGATCTTCCAACAAGCCAACTTCCACACTTTTGTCTTCCGCAGCAGAGTGAAGCTGGAAACATACAATGTGAGTAGAACAGGATTTGGAAATGGCCTAAAGACGTGTGAAAGCGCTCACTTTTGTCCACCGCCTCAAATCCTACAGCAGCCTTTGTAAGAAAATTGAATTAAAAATGTAAATCGGCAGGATCATAATGATTTTTTTTTTTAAATGTTCCAGCTGTGCGGCTGGCTTTCATTTCTTTGTCAGATGTGTGTGTCCAGCATCGTTGCTTTGTGAGAGATGTGCAAAGCAGCTTAGCTTTAGCCGCGGCCACTTTTTTTTCCCGTAGCCCACACAGATAGAGGTTTGTTTGGAGGGAAGCACATAAAAGAATTGATTGGGCTGGGACTTTGAGCAGGAAGTCTGGAGCCGAGCCAGAGGCAGCATCCGCCTCCACCACACAGAGTTCACTGTGTCCGTCACAAACAGCTCAGCATCCAAACTGCCAATGGCGCCGCTACAGGCATGTTTTGGCCCCCGTCCCAACACCCCGTCCTCCTTCAACAGAGACACCTGCAGCCCTTCTTTCAGCTTATTTCTCTCCCTTTCAACGCTACAAGCCCACTATTGTGCCACACACTCGCCTGTTGCCATGTGTACAGTGTTGGGGAGACTTGAAGTGGGTCAGAGAGGGTCCTGACCGGCTGAGGACCAGCATCTGTCGTCTTACATCACTTAGATTGTAACGGGCCCTCTCTGATGAGCTTTGGCTTCAAACAAACTTAGCAAATATTTGTCTCTTTATGCATTAGATAACGTGTTTTTATCCCATTTATTCACAGTGCAACTTAAAGCTTAGTGGGAAAGCTTGCACACAGTGAAGAATTGTAGTTTTTTTTTATTTTCTTCTTTTTAACATATTCTCTCCAGTCCTAGTTTTTATACAGAAAACTTTAGATGTGGTTTGAAATGAATAGCTCTTTGGATATTATCTTATTTGGGTTTGACTTTTCCTGCCTGATTTGGCCACTAGGAATCATGAGATTTTTTTTAGCCTTTGGTTTAATGTGTGAGGGAGTCATGTGGACCTTTTTTCCCCACACTGCCCCAAAAACAAACCTTGTTCTGTTTGTTTAAAACCACTGACTATTTGGGAGTTTGCTTCAAGCAGCTTTGAAGAACTTTGATGATTTTTAATGTCACTTGTTTAACTCGAGGGGTCAGTTCAGTCTTCATAAACTAATAAACTTGAATGTCATCACATGGGCTCATAAAGCTGGATTGCTGGATTCGGTGATGAAATAAGACTGAACAGCAGTGTCGGTGGCGCTCGGTTGTGCTGAAATGTATCTCCCAGTTACATTTTTATGTGGCGGTTCAGAGAGAGCTGGCTTGCGTTTCACCGTCTCCAGCAGCAGAAAGTTAATGGAGACAAATTGAGCGTGACCTCTGTTTAAATGCAGGGTTGAATGGGCCTGAGAGAAATGACCCCCTCGCGTCTAGACAGCTGTGGAGGTGGCTCTGGCTTTTAAAAGCTAAATGTCAACACAATTCAGACACTTAATCCAAATGTCTCATGTTGGAGAATGAAACCGCTCGAGTCGTTCTCGGGTTGAGAACAAACTGCATATGAATATTTCATAACGCTGCGTAATAAAATCTGAGGCGTTTAATTTGTTCGGTTTCCGTATTGCAGAACACAATTTCAGGGAATATCACAACCTCGCCAGCTCGTTTGCACCTCTACCTTTTCACCAGTAAACACGGGGATGGATGTCTGTTCTGCTCCAATATAAATGTGTGATGCAGATGGCTTTTTTTTTTCTTTCTCCCCCTTACAGGATGAATCCAGGATTAAGGCCACAGTGATGGAAGCAAAGCCGGTCGACCACAGAGAATACAGCAAGAGGCTGATCATGAACATAATGAAACTGGCTGCTTAGTAAGGGCAGCCAACTTAAAAAAAACAAAAAAAACTAAATGTGTTTCTTTTTTTTTTAAATGTGTTTTAGTTCTTTGTTTCACTTTGGTGGATGAGAGCTGATGAAGCGACTTCTTTCTTTGTCAAATAATGTCTGATTGGCTGATTTCTTTATTGGACTCAACCTTTTTTCCTTTCTTATTTGAGGAAGAGGAGCAGAGAGTGGGTCAGTAAGCGGTAATGGAAATAATCACTGTGTGTCTTAAGTCGGCCAGCATTTTGTGCATATGCTCTGGTGTTGTGGGGGTGGCGGCTGCCTTTAAGCAGAAGAACATCACAGTTGTTAGCACTTTTCACCCTCGGTTGCACTCTAAAAATGCCTGTGCTGGACCTGCACACCCCTGATAAGAACGTTTACGCTCCCACTCAGTTTTTTTCCCTTTTTTTTCTTCTTCTGTTTTTCTGGCTTCATCTCTCATATTTGGGAAACATAGACACATGCACAATGCAGACCAAACAGGAAGTGTGTTGTATTATATTTAAGTAGTAGTGTTTGCCTTTCCTCTTTGTGTATCTTGCAGTTGTGAATATCTGTGAATATTCAACTGTAAAAATAAAGACATTTTTCAAGTTATTGTCTTTAGGTTTGTTTTAATGAATATTTGTTTTGCTTTTTAAAAATAGGATTGCACTTATATGAATGGTTAACTAAGTGAACGATTCAGGTATAAATTAGACATCTTCGACTGTTAATAAAAGTAAAAATGTGCCCGTGTTTGGTGGTGCCACATGTTCAGAAGATTTATTCAGGTGGGGGTGCACAATGCCCTCCCCCATCTCCTCAGGTTCAGCTTATATGTGCAACAGATTTCCTGCTAACTTGACTTTCATGTTGTATTAAAGCTGAACATCAGTGAGGCAGCACCTTCCCATTTTTCTTGCGATAACATCTCGTGTCTGCTGAGCGCCGCATCTGTTGCCTGCAGTGCGCCGAGCTGGATTAGGCCTGTCTCAAAATGGGAAGGCTAAGTTTACTTTTGCCAGCCATACACGGCGATATTGTTTGTGTTTACCGGCTGTATCGCCATGCTGCATCTCCGTGGCTGTTTTCCTTGTTGTGAGCACTGACTTCCTAGCTGCGGATGCTAAGACGATGCTTATACATCTTTTAGAGCAAAAGAAAGCTGATGCTAAAGGTTGCCAGTAATGCCTCAGAGTTGTAGTCATTGAGCAGAGGAGCAGCCCTAATGGGACATGGTGGCTCTTTAGCCAGCTGACTTGAGTTGTCTTATGCGGTGAAGTGGGGAGCCGCTGGTAAAATGAAAGGTTTGAACTTCTGCCAGGGTCAATTTAACAGGTTCCTCTGCGAAACATGTCCAGGGACGTTTTCTGTCAGATTTCTTTGTGAAAAGGCAGACAGTTGTTCAATCCACAGCTAATATCAAGACCTGTGACAATGACCACACGCGTTGCCCATTGTCCATTAATCTAATTGAATAGTTATGCTAAAACATTGATTGTAATGTGTTTATAATCGATTTTATGCGTGTTAATTGAAGGCAGGCTGGTAAGAATTAAATTTCTCCTGCACAGTCTGGATAATTATGACCACTAAATTTGTCGAACGGTGGGATTGACATTAACCTTCATCCCGTTTCAGGGCACGTGTTTAGCATGCACATGTTTGGCCCACAGGGTCTTTTATGTGCACATTACTGAAGGTGTGTGCTTCATTTTGAAACCCATAGTGCTGAAACCCCCCCACCCCCACCCTTCGTTCACATTTGTCTCCTCTTAATGCCATCCTGAGGTCTTTGCTGTCAACTGAGCCTCATGACTAGGCAAGGCAAGTTTATTCGTAGCACTGTTTTGTGTACAAGACAATTCAAAGTATTTTATAAACAAAGAAAGAAAAAGCAGAAAAACAAAGAGAAAATGAATCACCAAAATAAATTGGATAGATAAAAAGTGAAGGGTGCAGATAAAATACATTAAAATTCCATATGCACAGATAAACAGAAGTGTTTTCAGCCTGAATTTAAACATTGTGAGATGTTCAGGCCTGTCCCACATCTTAAGGAAGACTTTTCCAGATTTTAGGAGCATGGAACTGAAATGAAGCTTCACCTTGCTTTGTGCTGACTCTGGGCACCATCAGGAGACCAGGACCTGAGACTCTCAGTCAGAGCTGGTTCATATGTCTCTAACATGTCAGAAAGATATTTTGGTGCTTCGCGACAAGAAGCTTATGCACAAGCAGAGCTGTTTTAAAGTCTATTCTCTGAGTGACAGGAATCCAGAGCTACCCATCTTTATCACCATCATCTTTACCTGATTTCAGCTTTTATCTTTTACAGACCATTAAAATGCAGTTGTGTCAATAATATTGTGATATTTATTTCTTTGGTGTGTAAGGTCCCATAGAATAGGAGATTACAAATGTGTCAAACTTTGCTGTGCCAAAGTGCTTAAAAACTTGCATAGCAGGTGGTACTGAGTGTGTGTGGTGGAGTTAGGAGAAGAACATGCCTCTCACTTAATTATGACTGTGTTTACTGGTAAACTTCACATTGACCCCTGCATCGGTGAGCTCATTTGTTTTGGCGAGATGTTTATTGGTTTGACATTTTCCTTGTTAGCACAGGAACATGTCATGAGATTATGTGTCTGTCATAAAGAAAGACATCCATTTATTTCCATCAATAATAAAATGGGGCACCCAGGCCAGTTGTGTTTCTGCCTATCACTATATTTCCCAGAAAAAGTTTTTGATCATCATTTTCAAAATTTTGCAGTTAAGATATCCACAAAAGGCACAGCGTCTTGAATGTCCTCAATACAAAACCAGTCTTTTACTTCCAAACATCTGCAATCTTCACAAGCTGCTAAATGTGTCCATTTCAGCACTGGACAGCGACAACTTTTCAGCACTGGACAGCGACATTTCAGCACTGGGCAGCGACATTTCAGTACTGAACATATATGGTCTGTGCCACTTTTTTTTTTTTTTTATATTTGGAAAATATGGGAACACAGTGTGTGCTCATTCACAGAGGACCTGAGAATTTGTGTTGGTGTGGGCAGTGTATGCCTTACTGCCTGACCTTTATGCTGTGCAGGTGTGTGAGTCTCATATTGCTGCTGCCTTACTGTGTAACCTTTCCAGGAAAAATGGTATACTTGTCCAGTGTGAATTATCATGAAGTGCATTAACACTGGCACCGTATTTACAGCCTGCAGGATCCTCTTTTAGGAGCATAACAGCAAATCACAGAGAACCGTTGGTGTCGGTGATGGGAAGGAGCCCGTTAGTCTGCTGCCTCTTGGTTTTTATTGCCAGGGCTTCTTGTTTGGACCTGATGCTGTGCAGAGTGCTGCCCATGGCCCCTCATACCAATTTGACAAATAGCGTATGGAGCACCCCAGATGTGCAGCAACAACAGACGGCACTGAAGAGAAATAAGCTGCAGCGTATGTTCTCTCAAAGCTCAGGCAGTGGTTATTTGCTTATGTGTACGGAAATGCCCTGTGGCCCCTCTCATGGATTCGAAAATCTTTATTGGTAATTTAAGGTTCTATTGTCTGACTTTGATCCTTAAGTGTTTCCCTGAACCTCATATGTTTCCTTCTTGATGTGTGCTTATGCTTTGGATGACTTTCCTTTAAATTCTTTTTATGCGCAGCGCACAATAGAGCAAATCCTCTGTGCTCCCAGCTCTACATACAGCTTACAGTAAAGTACATTAGCCATGGGAAGGACAGGAGTAATACATCCATAACAGAAATGAAAAAAAAATAGTTAGACAGCTGTGGTTTACTGGGTAACATTTAAAAACACTGTATGATGCCCTCTCTGCTCAATTAGAGCCCCTTTGAATTGTCTTCCTGTTTATAAGTATTCATCTGTTCAAACAATATTATCCTGACACACAACATTTCGGTCAAAATAAGACAAAATGTACATTAACTAAAACCTTAAGGGTAAGTGGGAGAAACCATTTTGTAAAAAGTATGTGACATGATCTAACTAGATGTTCCATTTTGTATTTTTTTATTATTTCACTTTTTATAGCCTGATTTAAAATATGTATCATGGCAACAAGTTAGGAACAGTTAAAAAAGCAAGAGAAGGAATCTGAATGCCAGCACTCGTGTCACAGAGGTGACTGACTTTCTTGGCTATTGTAGAACGTGGAGGCACCCCGATGCTCAGGAAAACAGTTAAAGCAACAAGATACTGCTGTTCTGATGGATTTGTGTTGCTTAATTTCCATTTGTAAGGGCAAAGTCATGTTTCCTTTTCTTTTTTGAGGAAAGAAACTCACCATGAGGGTGCTGTGAATGGTTTGAGCAGAATATTTCCCACATAGTCATTACATTGAAAGAAAAAAAAAAAGGGGAAAACATCAAAGGTTCGGTACGTCACTGGAATTACTATTCCGGTCTGGTTTCCCGTATCAAAATAACTTTGAAGTTTCATGTTGCTCTTTTGTAAACCTCACAAAGGAACTGACACCTCGCTCTTTAAGATCCGCGGGTCCTAATTCGGTATGTGCAGGTGTGGGTGACCTTGTCTCGGTTCTCTTTAATTGGATGACCCATTGCTTTGAATAAAGGCTGCTCATCAGCGAACGCCGGGGAGTGGCATCATATCTGAGTTCATGGAAGTGTCAAGATAAGAATAAGAATGAGAATGAGATGGTCCAAAGAGAGAAGCTAAAAGAACGTCAGAGACCATAACCACATGTTTTTTTTTTCCCCCTCCGGAGACACGTGTAAAGTCAGAAGAACACAGAGTCATATAAAGTGTATACAGTCTGGTTTCTTATGGACCATGCCTCCATCTAACTCCGCTGTCCAGCCTCGTCCCTCCCTCCCTGTCCACTTGTTCACCACTTTTCTGTCCTCTCTAGCTTGAATATAGTCATTTGAAATAGTCCCTATGGAATAGGATTCAGAGAAGCTTTTTAGTTATGTAACTGGAGCCCTCTCATGGTTCTTCTGTGCCTTCTCTTCCTCCTCTTTTGCCCCCTCTCTGTTTCACTTTCTCATATGTGTGCTTTAATTGTTGAGAAATGCTGGTGGAGTTCCCAAAGGCTGGAGTGAGTGACCTCTGTGTTTGTGTAAGTTTGCGCGTACCTCAGGGGCATCATAAACTTTCTACATGATCCCAGACATGCTCACTCCCCTCCTCTCTGCATCTCTATTCATCTCTGTACATCCATCTGTTTCTATATTTATAGAATTCCTAAGTGTAGAGATGCACTTTTAGCACTTCCGTTTCCCCCCTCTTGCATTGTTATTCCGTGTTTCTTCAAAAATATTTGCTCTGTGAGTGCTGCAGATTAGTGCCTCCTGTGCAATGGGAGCACAAGTGGAGCACTTCCATTGAAACTTGTTTCTTTTAAAATTGTGCCAAAGTGTATTTTGGGGGGAAAAGAGCAAGCAAGCAAACACACAAACAAACAAACAAACAAAAAAGCTTATTTCTCTGATTCTACCCCAGACACAGATTATATATCCATGTCAAACAGGTTGGGCTGAGCAGAGCCTACCTGCACCGCAGCAGCCCTGGAGTCTGGCCCTCTCCATGCTCAGGATTATGAGCAGTGGTGGCAGAGAAATTTGTTTC